GACTCACAGTGATCCCATGTGAGAGAAGAACTGTCCCCTAGGGTTTTCTAGGCTGAAATCTTTATGGAAGCAGATCACCAGGTCTTTCTCCTGTGGAGGTGCTGGGTGGGTTGGAACGACTAACCTTTCAGTTAGCAGCCAAGCACTTAACTATTGCGCTACCAGGGTTCCTCATAACAGTTATTTCTAGCAAGGGATAATACAGGTGTTTTTTAAAAAAATTTTCTTCTTTTTGCTTCATTGTAGTTTCTGATCTTGTCATATTGAGAACACACTGCTTTTTTAAAAAATTGTGGTAAAATATGTATCACAAAAATTTGCCATTTCAACCACTCTTAAGTGTACAATTCAGTGATGTCAATCACATTTACCATGCTTGGCAACGTCACCACTAACCATTTCCAAATGTTTTTCATCATCCCAAAGAGAAACCCAGAACAGTCTCCCGTAAGCAATAATTCCCCATTTCCTTTTCTCCTAACCACTGATAATCTTTTGTCTCTATGCATCTGCGTGTTCTAAATATTTCATATAAGTTGAATCATACACTATTTGTCCTTTCAAGTCTGACTTACTTCACTTAGCATAATGTTCTTCATCCATGTTGTAGCATGTATCAGCCCTTCATTTCTCTTTACGGCTGAATAATATTCCAGTATACGTATATACCACACTTTGTTCATCCGTTCATCTGTTGATGGACATTTAGGTTGTTTCTACCTTTTGCCTACTGTGAATAATGCTGCAATGAACATTGGTGTACAAGTATCTGTTCAAGACTCTGCTTTCAATTCTTGTGGGTATATCTTAGGAGTGGAATTGCTGGGTCATGTAGTAATTCTATGTTTAATTTTTTGAGGAATCGTCAAACTGTTTTCCACAGTGGCTACAACATTTTACATTCTCACCAGCAACGGATGAGAGAGAATACACTGCTTTTGTAAGAAGAATGTCAGGGCCACCTCTCCAGGTCTATTTGCTGACCATAATCAGAGTGGGAATGTTAAATCCATATCTGTGCTAATAAAAGACTAGGTTAAGTTTCAAATCCACAGCCCTTCTCTGGGGAAACTGCCCAGCTGATACATTTTTTCCCTTTAAACCAGTGGTTCTTAATCTTGTACATGCTTAAGAACCTCAGGGAGATTTTACAAAAGACAAATACCAGATCACTGAGCCCCACCTCAGGTATTCTGATTTGGAAAGGAAGTGTAGGAAGCTGCATTTTTAACCAGCACCTCCAAGACATATTTCGAGAACACACTGCTTTTTAATAACACCTTTCCATTTTCAAGGGTGGCATAAATAGTTTGTGTTCATCTACTAACCAAAAAGTGGGTGGTTAGAATACGCCTGCAGAACGAAGTCCTGGTATTCTACTTCCATAAGATCACAGCATTGAAAACTCCATGGAGCGCGACTGTACTCTGACACACACAGGGTCTCCATGAGTCAGAATGTACTCAATGAGGGCGGGTTTGGTTTTGGTTTGCCAGTGTCTACAATGACAGACATGGAATGAGCATTCAGTAAATGCTTTTTAATGCTGAGGAAGAAATCAACAGAAAAACCATATATATACACACACACATATATGTGGTGTGTATATATATATATCTTTTTCCCCCCAAAATACCATCAAATGGGGTAGTAAATGAAGGCCTTTCCTATAAATATGGCACAACAGATGAAATACAATCCACAAATTCAAATGGCTTAAAAATGACTGGGGGAATACTTTAAAAACAGGATTTTGGTTTTGCTTTGTTTTAGCTGTTCATAGCCCAGTGAGCCCTACTCATCAATTTCTCAGCACCAAACTGAATTTCTGACACCACGGGTTATCAAAGCGGCATTCAATATTCTATGATTCATTCTACGTTTTGAATGGGACATCATGTAAGAGGGTTGTTTTCCTAGTTCAAACGAATAAAAGCGAGCCCTTGCCCTACTGTAGGGTGTGCTGTGGGTTTCTTCAGCTGCAACAGCAGTGTAGTTAGTTAAACCTGTTAACCACACATGGTTAAGCCGGTCATTTCAAGGAGTGTGTCAGAAAGCTGAAGGAAGAGGCCAGCGCCTGGATCAAATGCTCGGGCAGCGTTTTCTCTGTCAGTTTTCCAAGTTCCTAAAAGGATGCAGAACCTGGCCCCTTGCCAGCTCCCTACTTTTGAAAACCTGTTCCATTTCCACCTCATTTGTAAAATGCGTGCTGCAATCCCTCCTAGTGGGAAGAACCTGGAGACAGCTGGAGGTCAAGGAGAATTCTACATACATAAGCGCACCTGTTTTTTTTGTCTTTGTTTTAACCATCTGAATTTGAAGCCTGGAAAAACAGGAGAGATACAGGGCATCTCTGACTGACTCAATGCTGCCCCCTTGCCGTGGAGTATGCCACTTCCTTCCCTCCTGGTTTCCAACCTTGCCTTAGAGGTGGGAGCAATTTAATCAGCTAACAGCAAATGCTGACTGTTATTGAAAGAGGAGGTGAATGATACGTCTCTGAGCTGCGCAGCCCTTTACATATAAGTAAAATGAACACCCAGCTTACAATAACGGTTTCTCACTCCAAAAGATACCCTGAGACACAGCCTGGTGCAATTATAAAATGCAGAATTAAATAAAATCGAATTTAACCTTGTGACCGTTCTTATACTCCGAGCTCCAATTTTTTAAATGAATTGCTTAAAAATTATTCAAGAGAATAGAAAAGTGAGAGCTAGAGCAGAAATAGAATCTTTACAGCAAGGTAACTGGGGCAAAGGTTAGTTGTCTTGATTTATTTTGAACAGATTGTGACACTCAATTTCTCAGGTATTTCAGAAATGGAAGATAAAATGTCGAGAGGGGCAGCAGTAGCTTTCAGCAGCTCTTCACAGTAAAGCACACTTTGGTTTACACTGAGAGCCTGTCTTTTGTGAAGACGAAAGGATGTACCACCAGAACTGGAAACCAAGTACTTACTGAAATCCACAAGGAGGCACAAAAACAAACAAAAATCACCAAACATCACTGCTGTTAAGTTGATTCGGACTCATAGTGACCCTATAGGACAGAGTAGAACTGCCCCATGGGGTTTCCAAGGAGCGCCTGGTGGATTCGAACTGCTGACCTTTGGTTAGCAGCCAAACTCTTAACCACTGCACCACCAGGGTTTCCAAGGAGGCACAGGGTGGGTGGAAAAACTGTAGAAACCCCTGGGAGGAAAGGGCCCAGAAAGATTTCCTCCAAAGAGACCACACTGCCCATCCCAAGTCTTTAAGGGAATGGTTTAAGGCAGTGGTTCTCAAATTGTGGTCCTGGGACCAGCAGCATCAGTAGCACCTAGAAACTTGTTAGTGACCATGCTGAACAGGAGCCCTGTGATCCTGGAAAACAATGAAGGTTAAGGAATATCTCACCCTTGTGTGTTCCAGGAAATGGCTAACTGCAAAGAACTACCCTTCCCCATATGACTTAGATAAGACTCATGGATGCTCCCCTTGTTTACCTATGACAAGGCCACACAAAAAGCAAACCAAATCTGTTGCCATCTAGTTGATTCTGACTCATGGCGACCCGTGTATTACAGAGTAGAACTGAGCTCCACAGGGTTTTCTTAGCTGTAATCTTTACAGCAGATCACCAGGCTTTTCTTCTGCAGTGTCACTGGGTGGGTTCAAAACACCAATCTTTCAGTTAGTCACCAAGAGCAAACCATTTGTGCCAACCACAGACCCTCCAAATTCCCATTCTTTGCCTTATTATCTGAACTGCTGGTCAGTGGAAACCAACTGCTTGTTAACCAAACTTTAGTTAACTTCTCTCCTTCTCCCAAGTCCCTAAAGTCTGGCCAGTATATGATCCTCTCTTAACAGCCCCTCCTGCGAATAGCTGGCCTCAGGGTAGAACATTCTCTGATTTACTTATCTATCTATTCAAGCTACGCTTTCATCCCCCATCCTCATTATCAGGTTCTTTCTAGCCTTGTCTGTTGCTGTGGTGGGCCATCAGTCGATTCAGACTCACAGCCACCCTACGTGACAGAGTAGAACCGCCTCATAGGGTTTCCCAGGCTGTAATCTTTATGGGAGCAGACTGCCAGGTCTTTTCTCCTGTGGAGCAGCTGGTTGATTTGAGCCGCCAACCCTTTGCTTAGCAGCCGAGCACTTAACCACTGCACCTGTTTTTGTAAAGATTACAGCCTTGGAAATGCTATGGGACAGTTCTACTCTGTCCTATAGGGCTGCTAGGAGTCGGAATCGACTCAACAGCAATGAGTTTGGTTTTAAACAAGGGTAAGGAGCTCTGATGGCGCGATGGTTAAAACAATGGGCTGCTAACAGAAATGCTGGCAGTTGGAACCCACCAGCTGCTCTGTGGGAGAAAAGATCTGGCGATCTGCTCCTGTAAACATTACAGCTTGGACAACTCTACGTGGCAGTTCTATTCTTTCCCATAGGGTCAGTATGAGCGATAATCAGTGGGAGGGAACACAACAACATAAAAGAAAATTCATTTTTGCCTAACCCTTGAGAGGCTTGCAGATTTTATGGTCAGAGCGTTCTCCCTACTGCAATAGACTCCCTTCCCCCTACAGCAAAAGTCCTATTCCCCCTCTGCCAGAACCCTTTCCAATAAAGCCTCTCCTTCCTAAGTTTGGATTTGTTTATATTAGACATTAGAAATGCAAATTCTCCGGCCCCACCCCAGGCCTTCTAAATCAGAAACTCTGGGAGGGCGTCCAGGAATCTGTTTTTTAAGCCCTCCAGGTACAGTTTGAGCATTACTGATTGAGGGCAAGATGAGTACACCTAGCACTTAACGCTCCCCTCAACCCCTTGTATTTCACTCGCAGCAATTTATGTGCAAGCTGTTTCTGAGGCTTACCATGGAAATATTCCTAGCGACCCCACAGACCATTTATCCCATAAAGTCAGTTCTCGATGACAAACAAGCCCACATAGCACACGTCTCCCCCAGCTGCAAGTGGAGCCGAGCAAGCACGAAACGCACATACTTACATCCCCATCTAACGGCCTCTGGTCGTCACAGTCCCTGGTGGGGCTAATGTCCTGACGCATGACCCAGATGGGCTCTTTGGGCTCGTCGGGAGTGTAAGGCGAACGGATGGTCCTGGTTTTCACCTCCTCGATGGCCTCCTTGATGTCCTTGATGGCCAGCGAGATGGCATCTCTCTTCTCCTTGCTGTACCGCTGCACCACCTCGCCGCTGCCTGCAGTACCCACCGCCCGCGGCACCTGCAACCCAGGGCTGTCAGGGCGGCCCCCGCCCGGGGTAGGGGCGCGCTCCAGGTCCTGCTCGGCCTCGGGCATGTCCTCGGCCGCCTTATCGAGGCTCTGCGAGCTCATGCTCTGCTTGACCTCGGCCACGATCTGGTCTATGTCCTCCTCCTGCTCGTAGCTGTCCATGCGCGGGTAGGGCGCAAACTCGGCCTCCTTCTCCGGGCTGTCGGACTCTCCATCAGAGCGCTCATCGTAGTGGTGCAGCCGCGCACCCAGGGCCTCCTGGCGGTACGCTGCCACCTCATCGCGCTCCTGCTCGTACAGCCGCAGGCCGTCGCGCGTGTCCAGCTCGGGTGCGTCCCCAATCTCCTCGTACACGTGCTCCTGAAGGCCCCCGTAGTCGGCATAGGGCTCGGCGTAGGGCTCGTCTTCGCCGCGGTGGAAGAGCCGGTGCGTGTAGACGTAGCCCGAGTAGGCCGCGTTCATGGCCTCCTCATGCTCCAGCGAGTGGAAGTGCAGGTGGTTGGGCAGCGTACGGCGGTGTGTGGCTTCGGCGTGCTCGGCCTCCGCCTGCTCCGTGTACTCCTCGGCCTCGGGCCGGTACTGCACGGCGTATGCGCTCTCGTCCTCGGGGTCCTGCGCGGGGTCCTGCGCGCGCTCCGCGTCGTAGCCGTCGCGGGCCGCGGCGATCACGTCGCCCTCGGCCGTGTCTGTGTGGTTGTGGAAGCCGCTCTCGGTGCTGGCCGAGCGCTCCAGGCACTCGCCGCGCTCCTCCTCCTCTTGCTGCCCGAGTTGGGCGCGGAGGTCCTCGACGGTGCGCCCGCGCGGGTGGCCACTCGCATGGTGGTGGTGCTGCTGCTGTTCCTCCTCCACCTCGGGGTGCTCCAGGTCGGCCTCCACCGACTCGTTCACCTCCCCACTTGCAGCCTCGTCAGTCACCTCCACCTCCGTGGACCCCTCCAAGTGGTTCATGGTGGGCGTCAGGGACCGCTGGGAGAGAGGCTGAGCCGGCTCACTGCACGCTCATTTTGCTCCACGGGGCTAGAAAAGTAAGAAAGGGAGAGGGGCTATTAGGTGGTTCAAATTGTAGTTATGAGCTGAGTACCAAGATAACCACAAAAATAGCTGCTTATTGATCCTTTCTGGATCTGGGTCAGTTAATAAATTACTGAAAAGTTAAGCTAAGTGTGACGGCGCATAGTTCATTTTCTTCATAGCACTCACCATAATTTGTAATTACATACCCACTTATTTAACTGCTTATTGGCATCTCCCTTCCCCCCTTTCAGACTGAGAACCTCATGAACATGCATGCCACTCAGGTTCCAATTCTGATGCATACGAATAAAGAGCATTACTAAAATGAATGGGCCAATTGACACATTTTCCATCTGCTAAACGATAAATCTAATTTAAACTGGAAACCTAAGTACTTTACAAACAATTCTTTAAATAAATTTCCAGAAAAAAATACTCTTGAAATGTTTTGAAGCCACTGCTGTCAATACAAATAAGCAGCCATTCTGAGGGGCTGTCAATCAGTCGGTTTCTGTCCTGGTTCTATTACCTCCAGCAAGTGCCTTAATATTCTGGCTCTCCACGATTATGCTGGACTCATTTCCTACATGCAGGATGTGAACAGCTATTATACAGGAAAAAAAGGCTCCATGGTCAAATACATTTGGGAAATGCTGACTTGGAGTTGGCTTTTCATTGTGAATATTCAAGGGTTGGGGGTGTGATAAAGGATGCAGGGTCTCCCAAACTCGTCTGACCAGGAAACACTTTTTTCCTAAAGGCCAGTGTTCTGTCAAATACACTTAAGGAAACATCATCTAATTTCTAACACTCACCACCTCCATACACCCTGGATCTAAAATTCTATGATTCTGTGAATTAGCATTTTATGAATTACCACCACCCATCTGTCAGTTTGTCGTACTGTGGTGGCTTTTCATGTTGCTATGATGCTGGAAGCTATGTCACTAGTATTTCAAATGCCAGCATGATCACCCATGGTGGACAGGCTTCAGCGGAGCATCCAGACTAAGACAGACTAGAAAGAAAGGTCTGGTGATCTACTTCTGATGCCAATGAAAACCCTATAGATCACAACAAAACCCTATGAATCACAACAGAATTTGTCTGATATAGTGCTGGAAGATGAGCCCTCTAGGTTGGAAAGCACTCACAATACACAGTGGCTGCAACAATGGACTTGACCATGCCAAGGATCATGAAGATGACAAGACTGAGCAAAGTTTCTTCTGTTGTACACGGGGTCTCCATGAGTCAGAGCTGACTCAATGGCAACTAACAATAACATGAATCACCATTACAGCTGAAACTGAATATGGCTAATTTTTAAAAATATAGGTCGTGCTTATTATTTCCAGGGAACTAGTAGCTAGGGAGATTTGGTTTCAAACCCTCTCATACTAATCACAAAATGGCTTTACAGCATAATCTGTGCACAGTATATGGAAAAAGAATATAAAGAACGACACCAAAAAATAGGTGAGATCCCTGTGATTTCAAGACACTTGTGGTAAATGGGTTCAACAATACACGTAAACTTTTCTCGTTGTGTTCTTTTGGAGAGCCCAAAAAAGGGAAGAAAAGTGAGCTCTTTAATGTAATAGCAGAAAGCTCCAGGAAGACCAGGGATGTGTGATTAACTCTCTAATATTGAGATGCGTTACGTTCCACTTAACTCCCCACCACAACCAGAGCAATTTCCTTCAAGCACTATGATGGTCCCAGTAGTAAAGGAAGCCATTTTGGAGCTACCAGTCCACCTGCAAGCAGAAGTATCATGTCCCCCTCCTCCCCTTTTTTTGATGGATTCATCTCTTATTGACACTCATTAGAAGAAAACAATCATGGTTTATCAGAGTTGAACAAGCCCCATTTGCTTCCCTACTTGACAAGAGTCCCAATTCATACAAGTTAGAGCCAGCTTCGCTTGAAAAAGTGTGGCCTCCTTTTCATTAACCCCTGAGAACAGTAACTATGGACTAAGTATGAGAAAGTTTACCAGAAGCAAGTATGAGTCTCTTTTTAGACCTTAGTGGGTGGTTAATGTCTAAGCAGAAGAGACAAAAGTGTTGGTGTTGAGGGCCGGCTGGTTAAGTGACCTCCAGAGGATTATGGAAAGTACAAAACAAATACTCAATTCAAAACAATGCATGGACAAGAATCATCTACCTAAGATTATTGTATATACCCACTCGTTTTCTTTATAAGGACCCTCTGGAAAAGACAACAGATCAAAAATATATTAAAGGCACACTGGTTCCTTAATGTACAAATCTAAGTCTGATGAACACAATGCAAACATTCACAAAAAGGGATACCAGATACTTCCCTGGGTACTGTTACTCTGAGGTGTTTTCAGCTGTATGTGGTCAGTGTTAAAACCAGTGGCCGCTGAGTTGATTCCGACTCATGGCGACCCCGTGTGCACCAGAGTAGAACTCTGCTCCATAGGGTTTTCGATGGCTGATTTTTCAGAAGTAGATCATCAGGCCTTTTTTCCAAGGTACCACTGGGTGGACTCAAACCTCCAATCTTTCGGTTAGCTGCCAAGTACGGTAACCATCTGAACCACCCAGGAACTCCTGTGGTCAGTGTTAGGAACACAGTAACAACAACCAAACAAAGCCCCTGAATGGCCAGCGAGTCATCATAACCATGTGCAGAAAGGGCCAAAACAATGTCTTCACTGAAAATGGCTCTTTCCCCTTTTACTTGATGAAAATCAATTGATACATGTATTAACAAGAAATTTTACCTTATTCTGGATTAAAACAGTATCTGGCCTGGGAGTGGTGCCCTCTCATAAAGCGCTTACTGATTCAAAGGAAGTAGGATTTCCATGCACGTACATATATTAAATGATGGTAAAGAAAGTTACAAGAAACCAGTTCTTTTGGGGGAAATGCTGTTAAAATAATGTGGTTTTGGTGCAGTGGAGCTTTCTAGTCACTAAATACATTCTTTTATTCCCATTCCAAGCCTCAGGGGAACATTTATGCACAGAGTGTTTATATTTCACTCACCATCATGGTTTAAATAAGATAATTTAGGTTATGGTATTGATGACATATTAATTAACCAATAACAGATACTGATTTGAGGGATTTTCTGAGGACAAAGGCAATTAGCAACTTTTAAGGAAGGAGCTGAAGTTGGTGGTCTGGTCGTTCAGCAGCACACTGGAGACTGAACCCTATACCCTGGAAGTTTGGGGGTGGTATTTATAGAAAAGATTCAGGTTGTTTTTAAAGAATCCCCAGATAGTGTGGGAATATATATTGGCACAGCCATTCTGAAAAGCAGTTTGGCAAGATTAATTGCTACATAACCTTTTCCCCAGTGATTCTACTTATAGAAATCTAGAAAGAAAAACTCAGATGTGGACAAAAATATTTCCTCCAGTATTTTTTTAAAAAGCAAAAACTATAAACGCTAACTATTAAGAATGTATTAAATTCTAATAAGTACAGTGCTAAGCATGTTAGCATCCTATTGTGATCTAGGAGGTTTTGGGGGGGATCGTCTTCTTGCTGGCAGTTCCACTCAGAGTTCCCACAGCACTCAAACTTACCTTGCCTCAGCTGAATGAGTCGTATCTCCTCACCGTCCCTCTTGGCTCTGGATCCCAAACCTCCCCCCTTTCTGTATTTCTTATGTGGGTGAGTGGCACCACCAGCTACCCAGTCGCCCTAAACCTGGGAATCATCACTGACTTATCTCTTTCCCTTAACCCTTCCCCAAAACTGATGACTGCGTCCATTCTCTTAAATAAGTCTGGCATCATCCTCACTGCCACTGTCCTTGCCACATCCATCTTGCCTAGACAATTGCTTCCCTGACTCTAAATTACTCAACCCCCCACCACCAGTCCATCTTCCCCACTGCCAACAAGCTTATCTTTCCAAAGTACAAATCTGAATCCCAGAACGCTGCTGCTGATTGATTCCCTGCTGCTGGATAGCACAAATGCTTACCTAACTATAACTATATATACAATATAATTAGCATATAGCCCTAGTGGTGCAATGGTTAAGAGCTTGGCTGCTAACCGCAAGGCTGGCAGCTCGAACCCACCCAGTGGCTCTGTGGGAGAAAGACCTGGCAATCTGCTTTCGTAAAGATTACAGCCAAGAAAACCCTATAGGGTTGTTCTATTCTGTCACGTGGGGTCATTATGAGTCTGAATTGACTCGATGGCACCCAAGAGTCCCTGAGTGGCACAAATGGTTAAGTGCCTGACTACTAGCCAAAAGGTTGGCAGTTCAAATCCACCCAGAGGTGCCTTGGAAGATAGGCCTAGCAATCTGCTTCCAAAAGGCCACAGCTTTGAAAACCCTAGGGAGCTGTTCCAGCAGTACACATGGGGTTGCCATGAGTAGGACCTGACTTGACAGCAAATAGCAGCAACAACAACATATACTGTATAATCACTACTAAGCATTTTTCATATATCTCACTGGCCTGTGGAGAGAGTATGGTTATTATACGGCAAATAGCAGCAACAACAACATATACTATATAATCACTGTTAAGCATTTCTCATATAACTCACTAGCCTGTGGAGAGGGTATGGTTATTATACGGCAAATAACAGCAACCACAACATATACTATATAATCACTATTAAGCATTTCTCATATAACTCACTAGCCTGTGGAGAGGGTATGGTTATTATACGGCAAATAACAGCAACAACAACATATACTATATAATCACTATTAAGCATTTTTCATATAACTCACTAGCCTGTGGAGAGAGTATGGTTATTATCAACCCTTTTACAAACGAGGAAACCGAGGCACAGAAGAGTTAGGTTATTGCCTGCACATGGTCACACACATGGTAAGTGGTGATGGCCCTGGTGTTTGTTTCCTGCTCTCTAGCTCTAGGGTCTGGGTTCTCGGGTCCTGTTCATGGCAAACATGTGTCTCCACACTTCACCCTGTACCCTGTGTTCTAACACCCCAAACTCTTGTACTGCCCCTAACTACTTTCCCTTTTCT